TTTTAAAATTACATTTCAAAAATTATACCACTCTAAAAATAAGCTATTTTTATTTTCCATGGTCTTCCTATCCAGTCTTTCTCCATACAAAGGAATTCCTTTTACCTAGTGGAATCACAGCATATAGATTTGTCTATTTCGTTTAGGTGTGTAATGTGACTTCAAAATAAAATGGCATACGAGTCTCATGACTTTATACATGCTGACAATATCCTATCAATATACACTCACCTAAGATAGATAAAAATGTGTATATTTGTACATATCTGTATGCATTTTATTGTATGTAAATATTACCTCCATTTTAAAAACACTGGAATTTTTTTTTCAGTTGACTCTTTTTGCAACTAGCAGTGTTCTCAACCGAGAGAGAAGAGACTTATTTAGGGCTTAAAACTGAAGAAAGTTGAAGTACTTAGAATAGTCCATCATGGCGGTAGAAAGGAGATTGGTGGTTACCAGGAGCTGGGAGGAGAGGGGAAATGGGGAGTTTTGTTTAATGGGAGTTTCAGTTTGGGAAGATGGAAAAGTTCTGCAGGTTGATGGTGGTGATGGTCATAGAACCATGTGAATGCAGTTAATGCCCCTGAACTCTAAAATGGCTAACATGGTAAGTTGTATGTTTGCATATTTTACTGCAGTAAAGAATTGAAAAAAAATAATAATAAAGTTAATTACCAAGTAGTAACATCTGCTGCCACACCGTCATTTTGAAAATCTGATAATATGTAAATAATACATTGATGTGAAAATGCATTGAGTTTCAGAATGGTAGTTCAGAAATGAATGAAGAAATTTCACCTCTAAATTAAAAATTAAACTTAACAGATGTGATTTGTAGATTAATGAGAATAGAAGGAGACTTCGAAATTGTGGGAGGCCCAGAATCGCTAATTCGTTCACTTGTTCAAAATGTAGTCTGTTCAGGCCTGCCATAACGAAATGCCAGAGTCCAGGTGCCTTGTAAGCAATATAAATTTGTATCTCACAGTCCCAGAGGCCGGAAGTCAGACACCAGGGTGCCAACATGGTTAAGCGAGGGTTCTCTTCTGGGTCACGAATTTCTCATTGTGTCTTCAGATGGCAGATGCTAACAGCAGCTCTGAGGGATCTCATCTATAAGGTACTAATCCAGGCACCTGGGTGGCTCAGTGGATTAAGCATCTGCCTTTGGTTCAGGTCATGATCCCAGAGTCCTGGGATCGAGTCCTACATTGGCCTCCCTGCTCAGTGTGGAGTCGGCTTCTCTCTCTGCCCCGCCCCCCCGCTCGTGTCCTCTCTCTCTCTCTCAAAAATAAATAAATAGATAATCTTTAGTGATATATATATATATATATGTGTGTATATATATATATACACATATATATATATATATATATATATATATAGCAGTCCCTCAACCAACTGAGCCACCCAGGCACTAATCACATTCCCCAGGGTTCTACCCTCATGACCCAATCACCTCCCAAAGGCCCCACCTCCAAATACCATCACATTGCAGGTTAGGATTTCAGTGTATGAATTTTGGGGTAGACACAAACATTCAGTCTGTAGCAAAGTCTCACACGTAGTGAACAGCAGAGATGTGAAAATCCAGGCAATTTTTCCTAAATAGTAAAAAATGATTAATATTTTTAATACTGTATGGTTTCAGATTTTTAAATGTTATATTTTATTGTGTTTGAATTCATATTTAAATTAATTAAATATGTATTAGTTTCAATATTTTTTAGAGAAGTATATTTCTGGCTATATGAAAATATATGATCCTTGTAGAAAATTTAGAAAATAAGAAAAGTGAATAAAAATTTTAAATCCCCTGTACTCCCACCTCTAATAGGTACTTGTTGATATTTTGGTGTTTCCCCCGCCCCAGCTATTTTGTATATGCAGCTGAAATGCTATACATAAAATTTTGTGCCCTCTTTTTTTTTTCTTTAAAGATTTTATTTATTTATTTGACAGACAGAGATCACAAGTAGGCAGAGAGGCAGGCAGAGAGAGAGGGGGAACCAGGCTTCCTGCCAAGCAGAGAACCCAGTGTGGGACTTGCTCCCAGGACCTTGAGATCATAACCTGAGCTGAAGACAGCGGCTTAACTCACTGAGCCATACAGGTGCCGCTCACCCTCTTTTTTTTTTTTTAAGATTTTATTTATTTGAGAGAATGAGAGAGAGAGAGAGTTTAAGAGGGGAGACAGTCAGAGGGAGAAACAGACACCCCACTGAGCAGGGAGCCCAATGCGGGACTCAATCTCAGGACTCCAGGATCATGACCTGAGCTGAAGGCAGTCCCTCAACCAACTGAGCCACCCAGGCACCCTATAAATACAGTTTTAAATGTCTTTAGAGTATTCTAACTTATGGCTGCATCATACTTTGCTTAATCATTCTTTTACTATTGGACATTTAAGCCATTTACAATTTTTATTATAAATAATATGATCTGCTTCTTTATGTATAAAGATTTTGTCTACGTATCAAGTTGTTATTTAGGTGAGAGTCCTAGAAGTAGGCTTACTAAGAAAAGATTATAAATATTTTTAAGACACTTGGTTTATGTTGAGCTATAATTTACTTTTAAGCCATGTTAATTGTTATTTGTAAATCATTAGTTGCCTATTTTTTTATTGCGAGTTACCGTCCTTACTGGTTTATATTAGCTCTTTATGTATTAGTATGTTAATCCTTTAGCATATTTGCTATAGCTATTTTGCAGGTTGTTTCTTATTTTTTAAATTTCCTTTATGATATTTTACATATCTATATTGTCAAAACTATTGAGTTTTACTTTGTAATTCATACTTGCTTTTTAAAATGTTTAATTTTGTTAATGGCTCAGTAATAACAAAGATACATCTTATAGGTCTGACACTCACTGTTTCCATACACTATTTCAAGCTTTTGCAGTAGAAACAACCAAACCAGATTCTTGTGCAAATGTGTTACTTTACATAACTTTGTATTTTTTACATAACAGTTCTTTTGAAGCTTAAAAAAGTTCCTTCTCAACAACCTATATTTTCATCCATATGGAATTGACTAAGTATATGGAACAAACAAAATACAGTGGAAAACTAAGGAGTCCTTAAAAAGTCATGCAATATAGCTGTATTTAGTGATACATAAAGATGTTAATGACATTACTGAGAAGGAAGGAAGAATATAATGTAGGAAATAAAGAACATGCCACTCATGTAAAATTAAACTACATACATATATGTATGTAGTTTAATATATATATATATACATACATATATGTATGTATAAAATTTGCCAGCTTTTATTTCTAGATTATGAATCTTCAGGTAATTTTTATTATCTTCTTTGTGCTTTTCTGATTTGTTTCAATATTTCACAATAAGCATGAATCATTTTTACTAAAACAACCAATTTGTTTTTTAAAAGCACAAATAAAACTTTTTTCACATACAGAGGGACAATAATATTTGCCTATTTTTTTCCTGGTCTTTAAATATGTAGACAAATAAGTAACATTTTCCTTAACATTTGAGCAATTTCCAGAAAGGTGTATATATTTCTACACATGGGTCAAGTATATACACATATCAATAAATACAACTTCCAAGAAACTTAGGACTTCTAAATATTGGATAAAAGTTCTGACTGAAAAGAACTCTTCCGTGAGCTATTCTAATCCGAGACCTTCCTACTGCATAACTCTCTGAGTGATGTCATACTAACCTCTTCCTGCATCTGGGAATGTTTCCAGGGGCTACATGTGGGAGCTTCCCGTTTTTGTTCTAAGTGAGCGATGTTTACTGGAAATGAAGGTGCACTAGCAAGATCTCAGTTCAGATAGCTTTGTGGGGGCAGGAAAGAAGGATTGTGAGATGAATTAGGCCAAAAACTTTTACTTTCTCCCATGTCATTATCTTGTTTTGATAGGTTGACTTATTTTTGTTTTGAAATTACCTCTTGTGAAAAACCTAGGAGGAATGATATGGGCTGTCTTCCTCTCCCCTCCCAACTCCACCACCACCATTCTTCCCTACCAAGACTCTCAACTCAAATCCTTCTTCCCTATCCCTCCATACAAAACCTGTACCCTCACGTCAAGTATCGAGAGTAGATGGTGGTGGCCAAGAACCCAGAGATAAGATAGTTGGATATTTCTCTTTGATCTGAAAGGGACTTACAATATTAATTATATGTGAACAAGAAAGGCAAAGGGATTTGGACATGATTGCACAGTTGATAAATGTTAGAACAAAGTGGAAAACCTAGCTTTCACATTCTTAGTTCAGGGCCTCTGGGTTAAAACTCATAAACATTGTTAACATTTTTTGGAACTGTGCATAAGGGCAACTTAGAAAGTTCCGTGTAAAAGAATGCAGTGTAACAAGAGTTGATTATATTAAGAGGTTGTTTTATGTTAAAGATCAGCTCAGTAAAATTAAAGAAGAAAAGTACCTAAATATACTGAATTCTTCCCTATTTGCAGGTCCTCTTAATTGTGATTTTGTGATATCAGAGGTATCTACAGTTTTGGGGGGTTTTGGTCAAAAAAACTTAGATGAAAAATTCTCCAGACCAATTAATTAAAAATTTCAAGACTAATATACACAATGCTACACTTTAGGAGATGGGGAGCTTGTTGCAAATTCAAACAAGGATGTGATTTCCCAACTTCTGAAATGTCATGAATCTCTTACCAAGTATCTATCCTACTGTCAAATTGCCATTACCTGTGCTGGGATATCCCTGGGACACTGCTGTAAGTATCAGAAAGACTAAAGCTGCAAAAAAGCTCAAGTTATTCCAAAATGATAATTTTCTGTTATGATTGCCATTTGGGTCTTCCATTCCTTTTAGCAAAGTTTGAGGAATAACTTCAAGTAAAGAATAGAACTTGCAGCTTGGGGCCCACTGTCAATGGGGAAATATAGAGAAAACAGAGTTCTTCCATTTTCTTTTGTTTCTGACTTTCAGGGCAAGAACATTTCTTCTCCACATGGAATGAGTAAGGTGACAAGTAAGGTGACGAGGAATAGAAAAATAGAATGAACCTTAGAAAGGGAAGACGGAAGCCCAAGATGGAGTCATAGAATGTGAAAAAGTCCAGAGCTGTTCCAAGTAAGTTCCAGCCCCCAACCTTGAAGAATAATGTCTTTGGGCCCTGAGAAAAAAGTTATTATGGGATCACCAAACAATTGTTTATTTATTATTTTGGGCACCATGGAGAATACGAGAGATATCAGAAGACTAGAGACAGTGGAATGAATATTCTAATTTTCAGAAAGAGAAGCCAGAGCTAGAAAAATTTTAGACAGTTGCCTTGGGCAATCTTGGGCTAGACTCTAGAAGGGGTTACTAGAAGAACAGTTTCAGGCAGGAAGTGAAGCAGGAATGATTAAGACCCAGAATGAATTCACTAAGGACAAACCAAGACTGGTTTATCAACTTCCTTCTTTGACAAGGTTATGAGCCCTGTAGGTCTGGGAAAGCCCTTACCTAGAGAGTTGTCTTGTCATTGGTTAGATATTTAATGAACTTTTTCATGATATTCTTTTGGAAAAGAGGGAGAAATATGAATTGTCAGACTCTAGCGTACTGAATGGATTAGTAACCAGTTGAATACATATATAAGATGCTAACTAATGAATTGATACCAAACTACAAGGAAGTATATAAATGATGAGTCCTAAGGCTGTGTCCTTCATCTGCCCCTCATAAATGCTTTCATAATAAATACACAGAAGGTATGCTCATCAAATTTATACGTAACCTGAAGTTAGAGGTATGGTGAATATTTGGATGACGGAATGAGAGTCAGTGACTTGAATCTACAAGGATGCATTTAAAAGCAATTAATACAAGGTCTTAAGGAACTCATAATGGCAGTAGGAATGGCTTCTACTTGCTTTAGCAGTAGCTAAGACCTTTAGCCCCATCTGAGTCAGAAATGTAATGTGGTTGCCAAAAAAAAAAACCCTAAGATTTTGGGCTGTGTCCAGTGGTGTGGTGGTAAATGTGAAACAGTTGGCTCGGGAGGGAAAAAGCACCTTGATTTAGATACTTGCCAGTTTCTGTCCTGTTATGACTTCCATCATGGCCAATTTCAAGCTACCAACATGAGGTCACTGAACACAGTTTGGAAGAGATTCGTAGCCGCACACCCTTATATAGCATTCTCGGTACACAAATACAGTAACTGTAAATAAGCCCAAGAGAAGACATAATAGTAATAGGTTATAAAATAATTAGGATGTGATATGTTTTAAGTATTTATTACCTTTGTGGGTTTTTCCTTTTGTTTTTCAAAGTTTTTATTTAAATGCAAGTTAGTTAACATATAACACAGTATTGGTTTTAGAAATGGAATTTAGTGATTCATCACTTACATATAATACCCAGATATAGGTACAATATTTAATACAAGCACCCTCCTTAATGCCTATCACCCATTTAGCCCATCCCCCCATCCCCATCCCCTCCAACAACCCTCAGTTTGTTCTCTTTAGTTAAGAATCTCTTATGGTTTGCCTCTTTCTCTGTTTTTATCTTTTTTTATCTTTCCTTCCCTACCCCTATGTTCATCTGGGTAGATTTTTTTTTTTTTTTTAGTTTTTTTAAAACATTTTCTTTATTTATTTCTCAAAGAGAGCACAATCAGAGGGAGAAACAGGCAGAGGAAGAAGCAGGCTCCCTACTGAGCAGGGAGCCCATCTTGGGACTCAATCCCAGACCTGAGCCAAAGGCAGACACTTTAGGAGCCACCCAGGCATCCCTGTTCAACTGTTTTGTTTCTTAAATGTATTACCTTTGTTTTAAATAAAATATATGCAATTTTAAGTTTATGTAATTTAACTTTTAATTATTGGCTGTGTTTAGCAATTGGCTCAAAGAATTCTTGAAAATTTAACACTCAGCTCTTGGAACTTTGTGTACCCAGGCTCCAGCCCGTGAGAAATGCGTAACCGGAACAAGGGAGGCGATAGCCCTGTTGTTCTCTGCCATTGTCAGGCCACACCCAGATCACTTCATTCCAGAACACATAACTTACAAGTCAAACTGTTCTGAAAATCAGAGCAGAGCAGCCAGGATGGCAGGGGACCAAAGTCATGGGTCTGGAACAGTGGACAGAATTAGGGGTGGAGCTCAAAGGCCCCATGTATGGGGTTAGGGTGGGAGGAACAGGTGAATGCTTGTTTTCAAGTATCTGAGGGACTGTTGTGTGAGGAAGGTCTGGGCCTAGAATTTATGGGTAAAAGAAAGATCCAGGGAGACATTTCTGCTCAATATAACAAAGAATAAGTAAATAAATAGATGAATGAGTGAATGAATGAATGAATGAATGAACGAAATATATAAGAAAAAACTTTCAGAGCTGTCACAGGGAATGGATTGAGGGTAACCCTGCAGAAAGTGGGAAACAAACTTTAGGATGATCTCAGAGTCGTGAAATCCAGCCCTGAGTGGGGCTCTGCGCTCAGCCCAGAGTCTGCTAGAAGATTCTCTCTCCTTTTTCCTCTGTCCCTCCCCCACTCCAAATAAACAAATAAAGTAAGTAAGTAAGTAAATAAATAAAATCTTTTTTTTTTTTTAAGAAGGGTGGGGGGGGGCGCCTGGGTGGCTCAGTGGGTTAAAGCCTCTGCCTTGGGCTCAGGTCATGATCCCAGAGTCCTGGGATCGAGCCCCGAATCGGGCCCTCTGCTCAGCAGGGAGCCTGCCTCTCCCTCTCTCTCTGCCAGCCTCTCTGCCTACTTGTGATCTCTGTCTGTCAAATAAATAAATAAAATCTTAAAAAAAAAAAAAAAGAAGGGTGGTACAGAGTACTTTATTTTTATTTTTTAAAAGATTTTATTTATTTATTTGGCAGACAGAGAGAGAGCACAAGCAGGGAGAGTGGCAGGCAGAGGCAGAGTAAGAAGCAGTCTCTCCCCTGAGCAGGCAGCCCAATGTGGGACTCGATCCCAGGACTCTGGGATCATGACCTGAGCCGAAGGCAGAGGCTTTAACCCACTGAGCCACCCACGCACCCTGTATGGTGCACTTTAAAAAGCCTTTTTACGAAGGAAAATCAAATACTATAAAGTAGAAAGAATAATATGAATTACATCACTGTGCTTCTACAATTATCAGTTTGTGTCTGATCTTTATAATCTCCGCCCACATCCCACCCTGGATTGTTGAGGGAAAAAAAACCCCTGACATCACCTCACAGCTTCCATGATTACTTCAGTATATTCTGTAAAATATAAGGACTCTGAAAATACACCCAATGATACCTTTATCACACTTAAGAAATTACTACTGATTGCCTAATATCATCTAAAATCCAGTCAGTGTTTAAATTTTCTACATCGTCACATGAATTTTTTTACTTGAATTTGCTCAAATGGGGATTTAACTAAGGTCCACACATTGCAATTGGTTGATGTGTTTCTTTCTCTTTTTCTTTTTTTTTCCTAAGATTTTATTTATTTATTTGACAGAGATCACAAGTAGGCAGAGAGGCAGGCAGAGAGAGAGGGGGAAGCAGGCTCCCCGCTGAGCAGAGAGCCGGATGTGGGGCTTGATCCCGGAACCCTGAGATCATGACCTGAGCCAAAGGCAGAGACTTTAACTCACTGAGCCACCCAGGTGCCCCAGTTAATGTGTTTCTTAAGTGTCTTTCAATCCATAGGTTTTTCCTTTCATTCTTTTTTTTCCTTTCAATTTATTCATTGAAGGTGCTGAGTCATCTGTCCTTGAGAATTTTCCAGTCTGGGTTTTTCTGACCACATCATCATGATGTGTTTAACATGTTCCTCTGTCCTCTATATTTCCTGTGATTAGATCCATGTTTGATTTGGAGGGGCAGAAATGCTTCATGGGTGGTATTGTGTATTTCTCATTAGGAAACAATGTCTGGCTGGGGTCTAGGTCCATTAATTCATTAGGCATTGCAAATGGTGATACTCCAATTCTATCATTCCTTCATTTATTAGCTGAAGTACTTCTATAAAAAGAAATATCTTTTCCTCAACTATTTATACCCTGAAATACAGGTTATACAGGATATGTAAGATGAGTATTATTTGCTCATTTTCAAAATGATGAATTGGTTTCCTGGCATCTGCCAAAGTTGACCGTGAGGTATTTCTTTTTTTTTTAAAGATTTTATTTATTTATTTATTTATTTGACAGGCAGAGATCACAAGTAGGTAGAGAGGTTTGAGCAGAGAGCCCGATGCGGGGCTCGATCCCAGGACTCTGGGATCATGACCCGAGCCGAAGGGAGAGGCTTAAGCCACTGAGCTACCCAGGCGCCCCTGAGGTATTTCATTTTTTTTTCATGTGTCCATGGTGTAGTTATTTCCCGACTTGCTTTATTTTTTTTAATTTTAATTCCAGTATACTTAACATCCAGTATTACATTACTCTCAGGTATACAACAATTCCATACTTTTCTTAGTGCTCATTAGGATAGGTGTACTCTTATTTTTTTAGATTTTATTTATTTATTTGACAGAGAGAGAGAGCACAAGCAGGGGGAGTGGCAGGCAGAGGGAGAAGCAGGCTTCCTCAGTGAGCGGGGAGCCTGACTCATGACCTGAGCCAAAGGCAGATGCTTAATCTACTGAGCCATCCAAACACTCAATAAGTGTACTTTTAATCCCCTTCATCTATAACACCCTCCCACCCCCACCCCCACCTTCCATCTTCCTGGAAGTTGGTATTTGATTTTGTTTTACATATCATTGTGAACTCATGGATTTTTTTTTAATGTATTCCAAAACATTGCTATTCTTTTTTTTTTTTTTAAATATTTTATTTATTTATTTGAGAGAGACACAGTGAGAGAGAGCATGAGCGAGGAGAAGGTCAGAGAGAGAAGCAGACTCCCCGTGGAGCTGGGAGCCCGATGCGGGACTCGATCCCGGGACTCCGGGGTCATGACCTGAGCCGAAGGCAGTCGTCCAACCAACTGAGCCACCCAGGCGTCCCTCTTTTTTTTTTTTTTAAGACTTTATTTACTTATTTGACAGAGAGAGAGATCACAAGTAGGCAGAGAGGTAGGCGTGGAGGAGGGGAAAGCAGGCTCCCCGCCGAGCAAAGAGCCCCATGCAGGGCTCAGTCCCAGGAACCTG